CCCCCCAGTTTATGGGGCCGTTGCTGGTTTGCCCCCCAGTTTATGGGGCAGTGGTTTGTTTTGCTCCCCAACTTATGGGGCCGTTGCTGGTTTCACCCCCCCAGTTTATGGGGCCGTTCCTGGTTTGCCCCCCAATTTATGGGGCCGTTCCTGTTTATGCTCCCCAACTTATGGGGCCGCTCCTGGTTTCAGCCCCCAGTTTATGGGGCCATTCCTGGTTTCACCCCCCAGTTTATGGGGCCGTTTCTAGTTTGACCCCCCAGTTTATGGGGCCGTTGCTGGTTTGCCCCCCAGTTTATGGGACTGGTCCTGGTTTGCCCCCCAGTGACCCCGAGCAAACCAGTCCAGGCTAACGGGGTCCCAGTTCAGGTGACCCCCAAATCCCAGTCCAACTTCCCCAGGAAAACCAGCCCAGGCTAACGGGATCCCAGTTTAGGTGACCCCCAAATCCCAGTCCAGCTTCCCCAGGAAAACCAGCCCAGGCTAATGGGGTCCCAGTTTAGGTGACCCCCAAATCCCAGTCCAGCTTCCCCAGGAAAACCAGTCCAGGCTAACGGGGTCTCAGTTTAGGTGACCCCAAATCCCAGTCCAGCTTCCCCAGGAAAACCAGTCCAGCTTCCCCAGGAAAACCAGCCCAGGGTAACGGGGTCCCAGTTTAGGTGACCCCGAAATCCCAGCCCAGCGACCCCAGTAAACCCAGCCCAGTCTAATGGGATCCCCATTAGGGGACCCCGAAACCAGTAGCACCCCATATCCGCCCCGCAGCCCCACTGGGGAAGGAGCCACTCGGAGCCATTTAGAAATCCATTTTTAATAAACTCTCTTCTTGCTCTCGAGATCTTCTTCTCCCATGTGCCCCGGCCCAGGCAGCCGTGGATGATGGGTCCTGGGGTGGGGGGGAGTCCTCTGGGAGAAATGACCCCGCTGCTCCACAATAAATACCCCTCCTGCGTCTGGCGGGTCACGTGCCCTCGGAGGATCCTGCCGGCCGCCCCGCTTCCTGCCTGCCTTCGTTCCAGCGATTGGGGTATTTTTTGACCCCGTCTCGTAGATTGGGGTATTTTCTGACCCCGTCGCAGTGATTGGGGTATTTTTTTTGACCCCATCCCAGTGACTGGGGTATTTTTTGACCCCGTCTCATCGATTGGGGTATTTTCTGACCCCGTCTCGTTGATTGGGGTATTTTTTGACCCCGTTCCAGTGATTGGGGTATTTTCTGACCCCGTCCCAGTGATTGGGGTATTTTTTGACCCCGTTTTGTCGACTGGGGTATTTTTTGACCCCGTCCCACTGACTGGGCTATTCTTTGACCCCATCCCACTGACTGGGGTATTTTTTGACCCCAACCCGCTAACGGTATTTTTTGACCCCAACCCACTGACTGGGCTATTCTTTCACCCCATCCCACTGACTGGGGTATTTTTTGACCCCAACCCACTGACTGGGGTATTTTTTGACCCCATCCCACTGACTGAGGTATTTTTCGACCCCATCTCACTGACTGGGGTATTTTTTGACCCCATTCCACTGACTGGGCTATTCTTTGACCCCCCAACTCACTGACTGGGGTATTTTTTGACCCCATCTCTCTGACTGGGGTATTTTTTCATCCCAACCCACTGACGGGGGTATCTTCCCCCCCGCCCCCATTTCCTGGGGCAATTCCCCCCCCTGAGAATCCCGTCTCTTCGGCGCAACCCCGGAATGGCAGCGGCGGGAGGCGGAGGTGTGCGGTCGGCGAGGGGCTCTGGGGCGCGTGCAGAGTGTGGCGTGCGCCCCACGCCAGCGGGGCAGGAGCAGGCGGCCGGGGGGCAACAGCGGGGGGCAGGAGCGGGAGAGGGGGGCGTCCTCGGCTGCCCTCTTCGGCGGGCCGGCGTCTGTCCGGTGGCGTGAAGGGGATCCAGCCGGGGGGGCAGCGCACGGCAGCGGCCCCTGGGAGGAATAGGAGGGCAAGTTTCAGTGGGGGGGCAATTTGACGCCGCCTGGGGACCCCCCGACCCCCCGGGGCACTCCGACTCACCCTGGGGGCAGCTGATCTCCTCCTGGGGGCACTCCGACTCACCCCGGGGGCACCCCGACTCCCCCCGGGGCACCCCAACTCCTCCTGGGGACACCCCGACTCCCCTCGTGGCACCACGACTCACCCAGGGGCACCCCGACTCCCCCCAGGGCAACGTTTCTCTCCCTGGGGGCAGCTGATCTCCTTCTGGGGGCACCCTGACTCCCCCAGGAGCACCCCAACTCCCCCTGCGGACACCCCGCCTCCCCCAGGGCCTCCCACCTCCCCCCAGGGACCCCCCGACCCCCCCAGGGGCACCCCGACTCTCCCTGGGGGCAGCTGATCTCCTCCGGGGGGCACCCCAACTCCCCCCAGGGGGACCCCCCCACCTCCCCCCGGCCTGGGCCCGCCCCTCACCATCTACTCCTCCGCAGCTGAGCCGTGGGGCCGGCCGCCCCCCGCCGCTGGGGGGCCGCTGGCGGGGGCCGCCTCCAGGGGGTCCCCCTCGTACTCATCGTAGTCCGACGCCTCCGGCGGGACGCTGGGCCCCCCACCTGTGGGGAGAGCAGCGCTGGTCGGGGAGGGGCCCCCGACCCCCACATCCCCGGCCCCACAGGGCCTGCCCCCCCTTGGGGCAGTTTTCCAACTGGGGGGGCCCCCCCCGGAAAAGGCCCCGCTCTGGTTTGCCCCTTCGGGGCAGGGCGCCCCCTCCCCAACTTATGGGGCTCGAGGGCCGATAGGGGCGGAGACAGTCTTGCAGGCCTCCGGTGGTGAGAATGGATTACAGAACCCAGCTGCCACTGTGGGGAAGGCCCCGCTCCACCCCACCCGTCTCCTGCCCCTCTCCAAGGTGGACCCCCCATAGCAGGACCTCCGACCTACAACTTATGGGGCGGGCAGGGATATAGGAAAGCTGTTCCTTCAGATGCCCAGCCCTGGGGGTGGATTCCATAACCCATGTGCCACCCCTGAGCAGTCCCTGCTGCAGAGAGCCCCCCTCCCCCCCCCCCCCCAAGGTGCCTCCCAGAGCAGGACCCCCAACTTGGGTGCTATGGGGAGTCGGGGATACTGGGAAGGGGATGTTCCTTCAGGTACCCAGCCCCGGGCGTGGATTCCACAACCCATGTGCCCCCACCGAGCAGGCCCCGCTCTGGGACACCCCCCCCCGCCGGCCTGGACAGAGCCCGGGGCCCCCCGGGAGCCGCCTCCACCCCCTCCACCCCCCACCGGGGGGATCCGGGGGGGGGCACCCACCTGTGGCACATGGTCCCGCGGGCACCCGGGTGTCGTTGCGGCGGTTGGGGCACATGGGCCCGTCGTCGGCGCTGTTGCAGGGGCTGATGGGAAGGAAGCCTGGGTGGGAGAGAGGGGGGTTTCCGGGGGGTTGTGGAAGGGGGGCCCCGGATTGGCTGCCTCCCCGGCGGGGCAGGGCCCGGATTGGCCGATCCCGGGGGGGCGGATCGAGCGTGGGATCGGCTGGCATTGGGCCAGGGGATCGGAGCCCCAATTGGCCGATCCCAAGAGGGAGGCGGTGCCCGGATTGGCCGATCCCAGGTGGCGGGTCGGTGCCGGGATCGGAGCCCGGATTGACCGATCCCAAGAGGCAGGTCGAGCGTGGGATCGGCCGGCGTTGGGCCAGGGGATTGGAGCCCTGATTGGCCGTCCCCAAGATGGAAGCGGTGCCCGGATCTGCCACCCCCTCAGTGGATCACCATCGGCTCAGCCCTCAAGAGCTGCATTGCTGCCCGGATCCGCCGGCCCTCGCAGCAGATCCCCGCCGGATCCCCTCCGAGCCAGCAGAGCAGTGCCTGGATCAGCCACCCCTCGCAGTGGATCACCGTCGGCTCAGCCCTCATGAACTGCATCGTTGCCTGGATCAGCCCCCCCCTCAGTGGACCCCCGCCGATCCCCTCCGAGCCAGCAGAGTAGTGCCTGGATCCACCACCCCTCACAGCAGATCCCCACCAGATCCCCTCCCAGCCAGCAGAGCAGTGCCCGGACCCGCCACCCCTCACAGCAGATCCCCACCAGATCCCCTCCCAGCCAGCAGAGCAGTGCCCAGATCCGCCACCCCCTCAGTGGATCCCCACCGGCTCCCCTCCGAGCCAGCAGAGCAGTGTTCGGACCCCCCTCCCCCAGCGGCGGGCCAATCCCGTCCCCCTCGCTCACCCCCCACCCCAGTGGATCCCCCCAGATCCCCCGACTCACCGTCCCGAGGGCCCCCGGCGCCCCCCACCTCGTTGCAGGGGGGCCCCCCGCACAGCTCGCCGGCCAGGGCGCCGCCCCGGCTGAGGTTGTAGAAGCGGGCAGCCTCGAAGCCTGAGGAGGCACACAACGGGCAGCCGGTCAGGCGGGCCGGCGGGGGGGGGGGGGCCGCCGGGGGGGCAGGGGGGCTTCTGGGGGGCCGTGACTCACTGGGTTCGTAGTAGTCGTAGACCCGGGCGGGCAGCGGGGCCGTCTGGCCCACCAGGTGCCGGCGCAGCGCCCCGAAGGCCACGCAGGTCAGGCAGCGGCTGGGGATCTGCGGGAAAGAGGGGCGGCTGAGGCGGGCGGGGATGATGGGACACCCACCCCACCCCGCCACCACCCCCGCCGCGGGGACGATGGGCCCTCACCTCGTCGAAGTAGAAGAGGACCTTGCGGCCGCTCAGCTCGTAGCGCTTCAGGCCGGGCGGCGGGTTCAGGAGGAGCTGGAGGGGGGAGAGGGGGGTTGGGCGGCCACGGAAGATGCCAGAAGCACGTGGGGGGTTGTGGCGGGGGAGCTCGGGGGGCTGGGGTTGGTTTTGGGGGTGATGTCCTGGGTGGGGGGGTTTGGGTGCTCGTTTTTGGGGGGGAGGAAAGGGGCAGGACTGGATGGGAGGGAAGGGAAGGGGCAGGGCTGGACAGGAAGAGAAGGGAAGGGGCAGGACAGAAAGGGAAGGGAAGGCGTAGGGCAGTAAGGAAAGAGAAGGGGCAAGACTGGAAGGGAAGGGAAGGGGCAGGACTGGACAGGAAGAGAAGGGGCAAGACTGGATGGGAAGGAAAGGGGCAGGACTGGACAGGAAGAGAAGGGGC